CCGGGCCGGGGTCGACCTCGGTGTGCGGCTGGGGCCGGGCTTTACCCCCGCTCCCCCCCCGGGCAGCCGCGCCGCGCCCAGCGCGTTTCAGCACCGCGGCCAGCGCCGCCACTGCCCGCCCGGCCCCCGCGCGCGGCAGACACAGGCGCAGCCTCTTGCTACAGGCCTTGGGCCCGGGGGCTGGAAGGGACCTTACAGAGCAGGGGCTCCAGCCCCCCTGCACGCAGGCTGCTGGGATCCAGCGATCCTAGCGAGGGGCGGCGTGCAAGCCCCCGTGTTGGGTGACCCGGAGGCTGGAATCAGCACTGGGGAGGGAGAGTCAGCCAAGGAGCAGGGATGACCCCGAGTTGTGGAACAGGATCTGATTGACAAAAAAGCACCGGGGGGAACCCACTCAGGATTTCTTCCCTGTGCTGGATGCTGGTCTCTGCCGCAAACGTTAGGCCTTTGTGCAGTGCCAGCCGAGCTGTGCGGGGTGGTGTCTGCAGGACCAGGGGCCTACAAGAAACCCTGCCCAGTTGCAGCCAGGAGGGTGAATGGCAGCAGCCAAGCTCTGACCCCGGCATAGCGCAGCCGATCCTGCCCACAAGAACATCCGTCCATGTGCTCGCTCGCATGCTGGGCCCTGCCTCTGCCGTAGCACCCTCCTGGGCCCATCTAATTAGCAAGTAATTATTTGGGTAGACTGTTACTGAGAAAAGGCAGCCGCTGCTAACCTATGACTAGCGGCACCCCAAAGGCCTCCCACTTTCAGGTAGGTGGAGATGGCTGCAACTACCCGCATGACAAAGAAGAGGTCCACAGTTAGGATAGACCCAGGTTCAAATGTTCCTACTGCAGAGGGTTTCCCTCCTAAATGCAAGGCACCATTGCCCTCGAGACCTCACAGTAGGGGGAAGGACTAGGAGTCATTTCCAGGCCCAGCGCCGCGTGGGAAACAGAAGGCAGGCCGGGTCTGACCACGGGCATGTGGTTGCACTCTGCTACAGGAGTCCTGGTGCTGTCATGGTACCCACCTGGCCTGGCAGATGATAATGGGGAGCCGTCCGAAAGCCTGGTGCCGTTCATCCTGGATGCCGCACACCGGTATGCTATAAAGGTAGGGCTTCTCCTGCTTGTTGCCGGAAGCGATTAAACAAATTGCTCAAATGGCTGCAGTGCTTCTGCTGCCAGCTCAACTGCTCTGGGTTGTTTTTAACTGCTTGCTGCATGAGGCAACGAGGGATTCGGTTTTGCAGCCATCGAGCACAAGCAGGAGCCCTGTGGGTGCGATTACAGCTTAGGTCTCACCCACATGAAAGCTGAGAGCCTGCTTTGTCCTGGCTCCCAAGGGTGGGCTGGGTGCGAGATGTGCTGTTAGCCTGGTCCCTAGAAGGGGGCTGCCAAGAGCTTCCAGCTGCTCCATGAGAAACGGGCAGGGGGACCTCTTCAAAAGGCCTGGGCACCACTGGCCTGTCCCTAGAGCCCCACACTCCTGCAGAGCACAGGCTGTGAGCTAACTCTCTCTGGCTTGTTTCGAAGGTGGCCTTCCACATCCAGCTGTACAAGGGGCGGGATGACCACACTGTGCACGAGAACATCAAATACATCCTGGACAAGTAAGTGCTGCCTTGCCAAACACAAGTGCAGCTCTGTGCTGGTATGCGGGGCCAAGGAATGGACCCCCAGGGTTTACGCATCACGTGCTTCACCAAGCTAGAGAAACCTGGGCGCAGTTATGCTGCTGCTGCAACTGCCACCTCCACGCCCAGCCCACAGGCGAGCAGTTTGCTACAGCTTTGCACTGAAATGCTCGAATTCCCCCGTTCTTTCCTTTCTGACCTGTCCATTAGTCAGTTATGCTGCGGAGCAGAGGGGTTCAGTAGGATCAAACCCAGAAACACAGCAAAGCAGAAAGCCACAATGAGAGACAGTCCCTTAAGTGCTTATCTGTAAGCCCCAGAGGTTTAGTCTTTTCCCTATTGAGTGCCTCACATCTCTTGTAAGGTTTATATTAACCTAAGACCCAGAAACAGAGGCCAGCTGCAGAGATCAGAACCAGCTTGGAGTTCAGTGCTGGGGGACAAATTAGCAATGCAGGGAGGAAACACGCTACGCATCTTGTATGTACACTTCCCCTCTAAAGCATTTATTACCGTCCGAGTGAGAGCCGGGCTCCCAGGCTAGATGGGCTGTTGGCCTGACCCAGTGTCAGTACCCTGACAAGGCTTGTGTGCGCTCTCTCCTCATCTCTAGCTACAGCTCACACGGTGCTTTCTACAAGTACAAGATGAGCACTGGCAGGAGCCTGCCCCTGTTCTACATCTACGACTCTTACCTGACACCCGCCGAGTCCTGGGCCAACCTGCTCACCCCGACGGGCTCCCACTCTGTCCGCAACACCCCTTACGATGGCGTGTTCATAGCACTGCTGGTGGAGGAGGGGCACAAGCACGACATCCTCTTGGCAGGCTACAATGGCATGTACACATGCTTCGCATCCAACGGCTTTTCCTTTGGCTCCTCCAACCAGAACTGGAAAGCAATCAAGGCTTTCTGCAACTCCAACAACCTCATGTTCATCCCCAGTGTCGGGCCCGGTTACATAGACACTAGCATCCGCCCCTGGAACAACCACAACACGCGGAACCACGTCAACGGGAAATACTACGAGACAGCCCTGCAGGCCGCCCTCATGGTGAGGCCGGAGATAGTCTCCATCACATCCTTCAACGAGTGGCATGAAGGCACCCAGATTGAGAAAGCCGTGCCCAAGAAGACAGTGACGCGCCTGTACCTGGACTACCTGCCGCACCAGCCCAACATGTACCTGGAGCTGACCCGTCGGTGGGCAGAACACTTCAGCAAGGAGAAGGAGCAGTGGCTGATGTGACTGCTCTGCACCAGCAACTTCTGATCTTTACCTTACTGAAAGGTCATGCTAAGTCTGCTCTGGAATTCAGTGCTCCAGGGGAAGCTTGAGAAAGCAGCTAGAGCCTCTGAGTCTGCGTACAGCTGTTAGCTTGGCCAGGTGGCTCTAAGTGTTCTCCATGAACTGCCCCTACACTTGACGTCACAGGAAGGTTAGAACGAGCAGAGGGATCTCCACGCAG